GCAGATCACCTGACCTCTCTGTCGACCTCAAGGAGCCCCTTCCATCATGAGGATGCTATAGTTTAGAACATTCCAAGTCTTATATTAAACTTAAATGCCTGACAATGTAGATTTCTCTTCAGTGCAGCTTCCCTTCCTTTGTTGTCCCAGAAAAGTGGAAAGGAACCCTGCAGGCTATTGCAGGGGGCTCAGTACCACGGAGCGAAGTAAAAGGGAAGGTGCAAAGCGGCCGGGCTCTCTTTCCGGCACTGGCCGTTCCCAGTGAGGGTCCGAACGCAGGGAGCAAGGGCTCAGTTCTGGGCCCCTTCCTCCCCCAGGGCCACCCCGTGCGTGGGCTGCGCAGAAAGCAGGGTTCGTGTGTGAGTCAGTCACTCGTGCACCTGCTTGTGTTAGATGCTCATTAATGCTGTTATGCATGTTTTATATGCTTATATATATCACGTCTTTATATACTTCTGTGTGTGTAAATATGCATGTCTCATAAGTGCGAGGCTCCCTTCTAGGTGCTGCAGGTACAAAAATAAAGAATGGCCTCAGGGGCTTACTTTCTAGTAGAGAAAACAAGATAAACAAATACCTAAATAAGAAAACTCCAGGGAAGGCCCTCCACAGAGCATGAAGGGAGGCTGCGTGAGAGAGACAGGGTGTCTATTTGGGGTGGATGATGAAGGTCTGGCAGGTGTTTTTTTGGAAAAATCAACCTTACGTTAGCTTTTGAGTGTCCAAGTGCCTCAGTGGCCTTGAGCCAGGCTGGTTCTACTTGCAGAACATTCGGGGTTGAGATGCCTCCGCAGCAGCACGCGCCTCAGCGGAGTGGCAGCGCCCCCCATCGTACCCCCCATGCCTGGCTCAGACCAGCAGGAGGGAATCAGAACCTCAGGGGAACACTGCCCATCTCCTTCCTCTAAGCAGGGAGCCCAGCGCTGCAAGGACTGCCTGACGCTCAGCAGGGGCGTGGAGTGGCTCCTGCAGCCCTGCGGGGAGCCTGCCTCCCCATCCCCCCTCGCTCGTTTCATTGTGGAAAACCCCCAGCTTTGTCCAGAGTGCATGTTCCCCTTGCAGAGGATCACACTGCCTGTTGCTGATCTCTAAACCAAAGGGCGGTCCCTTTCCCCAGCCCCAGTTTCAGTCCCAGGGTCTCCACTCCAGGTCCCTGTGGCTTGTCATTGCGTCTTTTTCCTTTTTGCAGCCTGAGTGTGTGTGGCGACATTAGGAAGCTCTTCAGAGTAATGATGTTCCAATTGAGGTTGACGAGGAGGAAATGACAGGTCACCGCGAGGAAGGAGAGAGAATTTTTTGAGTAGGTCACTCTGTCTGGGGTTTCCTGACTTAGCCAGAGGCTGGCTCACCGGGGAGGCACTTCAGAGCCGCGCCAGCGTCACACTTCACCTCTGCGCTGTTTTTCCCTAGGAGTGGCTGCTGAACCAGTAATATCCACGGGACGGAATGTGGCCCGAGTTGGGGAGCAGTCAGTGCCCACTGGAGCGCCACAGGTCCCCAAAGACACACGCAGCCACTGTCCTCCACTCACTAGAGGGAGTGAGACGAGAGAGAGGCCACCTCCTGCTCCCCGTGCACCTGCCATGACCGTCCATACCCCTGCCTGCGACCCGGCTCCCTCTCGGTTGGACACGGGGGCTTCCGGGTGAGAACTCTGCCTTTTTCTCAGTGTCTCCACTGCCTGCAACACCACCTGGCTAGGACAGGTGCTGCTCCAGTGCCCCCTGCTCTGGGCCACCTCCCCTTCTCTTCTGATCATCTCCTAACCAGTCTCCCACCCCTGCAGTCTATTCTTGACACAGTGGCCAGACGGATGCATTTAGAATGTCAGCTGGGCCACACCACTGCTGAACCCCAAATCCTGCAGCAAACTGCAACCAGAAATGGATGAGGCCATCAGGGGTGTTCTGAGTGCAAACCGAATCCATGATGACTCACGGATTGAGGTGGGATGATGGCTTTATGGTTCTGTTTGACATTTCCTTATCTTCTAGAGGTACATAAGGAAATATTTTGAGACACAATAATGTGATGATGTTTGAGACTGTCTCAAACTAACCCAGGGGAAGGTGGAGGTGGGTGTTGGTATAAACTAAACAAATTGGTTAATGACTTGCTAAGTGTTAAAAATGGGTTTGGGGAGTGTGGGCGTTCATTTCACTCTTCCTATGTTTGTATATGATCTGTTTAATAATATCTTTCAAAATAAAAAATATTGGAAAACATTTAATAGCTCCACATTTCACTCAATTAAAGCCAAATCTTCACAATGGCCCACAGGCCCGGCAGGAAGCGCCCCCGTTTCTCTGACCTCATCCCCCCAGCCGGCCCCTTGCCACTGCACACAGGCCTCCGTGCTCAGGCCCACCGAGCACAGGCCGCCTCAGGGCCTCAGCCCCCGGTGCCCCTGTCGGCTGTGCTCTCCCGGCTGTGGTTTGGCCAACTCACTGCCCTCACGGGGGACCTCCCAGGGGTCCTACTGTGAAGCTTGTTACCAGCTTCCACCTAGATGGGGACACCTGAGGCCTGGGATCTTTGTTCCTCTCACTGAAAGACCCCACGTGCACGAATAATGTCCAGTACCCAGCAGACACTGAAGAAATAGCTGGTAGGTGGATGAATGTGCAGGAAGGGAAGGGGAGACGAGAAGGAGCAGGGGTGGGAGAGGAGCTGGTAGATGAGAAACAGCAAAGACAGGAAAAGAAAAGAGAAACAGAAGAGGAAAAGGGGGCGGGATTGACCCGGGACCCCCAGGATGACACTGGCGGAGCTCGAGCTGGGAGCCGCGTGCACGGCCTCTTACTAGGACTGATGTGCTTCCGAGCTGGAAAATGGGGAGCCCAGACGAAAGCCGATGGCCACGAGCAACGGCCAAGTGCAGGACGTTCCCTCGGGGGCGCTCCCTGGCTCTGTGCCACTCTCTCCAGCACTGGTCAGTCCTGCTGAATCTGCAGGCTCCTACAAGGCCGCCTCAACCCTGCCTTCGCTGCCGCCCTGCCTCCCGGAGCCTCCCCTCTCTCCTCTGAACACCCCGAGTCCTGCTGGGCATTTGGGTTATCTGCTCATGTGTCTCTAGTCCCCCAGGCTGTGAGCTCCTGGCGGTTGAGATCATTCAGAGATTCTGCAAGCATTCAGCTGAGAGCCGGGTAAGAACATAACATGAGCTTTGTTGAAAGACTGACGCATGGAAGGAAAGACGGAAAGAAGTCAGGCCTTAGGCGTGCATCCCTGAGGGGCTGCTGAGCCTCTACAAGCAAGCTCCGAACAAAATGTGCCCTCCCTGCCTTAAAAGTCAATTAAAGATGTAGATAAGTCTACCCTTTGCAGTCATCTTTGTACCAAGAGCTCCACTCACCATCTAACACTATGTTAGGAAAAGTGAGACTTGCAGCAGTTCAAGGCAACATGAGATACGGTTCACTGAAGCGCAATCACATAATGTACAGAGATGGCTGTTTGCTCCTCATACTGTGCATGCAGAAAGGGGGCTGTGACAGCTACCACATCGTGCTGCCCACAGAGGGACAAGCTCTTCTTTCGGTAACTCCGCCAGTGGGGATGCCTTCCCACTGCAACAAAGTAAACAGGCACAGAGAGGCTAGCGGACATGCAAGGTCACACAGCTGTTGAGAGGTGGGGCCTAGCTTCAAACCCAGGTGCATCCTGAGCTTTAGACCCCAGTCATCCTGCTGCAAAGTCCAGGACCTTTGCACCACACAAGGAGAAGGTGCCCTGGCTTTGATGCATCTGAGTGAAGGGAACCTGAGGCCAGGGCTGGGGATACAGGACAGGAGGTCTTCTAGTGGGATAAATGACTTCCTGCTCTCTCCCCAACGCTCCTTCATGACCTCTCTGTGCGTCTCAACTGGCCTTCAACATAAGTTCCTCTTAGAATCTTGTAGGATGCAGAGATGTTTGAAACCAAAGAAGAAAGTTCACTGGTGGGTAAGGACAGGCTGGAATCTGTGCTGAGTCATAAAAGCAAGCCACACAACTTCAGGACTGAGGATGTGAGTGTGATCAGAAGGCGGGTCCAAACCACTTGGGATGAATCTACAGCAAAGTGGTGATTCCCTTCACTCTGCTGAGCTACGGAACCTCCAGTCTAAGAGTGGCCTGGGGTAGCCTCTCCCAGAAGCCAGGACCCCCACTTGTACCCATCACCTGGCCTCCTAACCAAAACCCCCAGGGGCAGGGAGCTCACTACCTCCAGGGGCTGCCTCACCCATCTTGGGGTGGTTGCACCCCTTGGACCCTTCTCTGTGTGAACTAGTAAAAGACGCTACAAGCTGAAGCAGTTGGAGTCAGAACGTGTGAGCTGCACCCCTGCTCTGAGCCAGGCACGCTACTGGGACTCAGGGGGTGAGGGTCAGTCCCAGCACCCTGTGTGGCACCACGGGGGGCGCCTGACCCGGGAATGCTGCTGTGCCCCTCTACCCCTCTACCTTAAAGCACACGACCTCACGTCAGGAGCTGTGCTTACTGGTGACTTAATAACCATAAGGTGTGCGTGACCTGGATGAGAAGATATGTTAAATTAAAATAAACTGAATTCCATGAGGTATTGTACTTAGAGTAAGGTACTTAGTAGCCTGTTTACAGATCTCTACCTTTTAAATCTTATTTTTTTCTTATTGTTTCCTCGAGACTTAGCTCAAGTGCTACCTCTTTCAAGAAGCCCGGCTGCCTCCCCAGGTTGGGTCAGCTGCCCCTTCCGTGTTCTCTCAGCACCTTCTGCCAGTGCTCCAATCATGCAGGGGTGTGAGTCTCTGCATATGTGACCCATGGCAGGTGACAGACTCATGTCTATGCCCTAGTACCCAGCTCAGGGCTGAACACACGGCAGATCCTCAGCTGTGGTCTATGAACAAATCTAACCCTTCCATCTGCCTCCGATATTCACTTCAAGCTCACGAGGCTGGCGTCATCTCCAGTTTCAGCTAAAATGCAGGCTAGTGTGGGTGAGCCGGGGCATCGGCAGGGAAAGAGAGTTTACTCACTCGGAGACCTTGCAGACCAGGAGGCCCGTCCTTGCCCTCTGGACCCATCAGACCCTTTAGGAGGGGAGAAAGTGGGGAAAAGGGTAAGCACAGGGTCCAATCCCACAGGTCATACTTTGCCCCCAACTCTCATTGCACAGGAAAATCCCACCCCATCCCAATGGGGAAACTGGGAGGTCAGGAGGAAAAAAATATCCTATTCCCACAAATTCACAGCATGTTAAAACAACGGAATCTAAGTCTTTCAACAACTACGATGCAGACAACATCACTCACACTTTAGCTGCGTGCAGTAGGGCTAAATGCTCTGCACTGAGCTCGGCGTGAAGCATACACAGAACAAGTGTCCGGAACAGTGTCTTTGGCTCTAAGTCTAGGGCTGTTTCACCTACATCTTTCTGGCTTAGCAAGAACTGGCCCGGCCATCTTGGCTTATCTGACTCTCGGTCAACAGCGGTAAGCAAAATATGATAGTAAAATAAATGAAAATGTCTCAGAAAGATCGGTTTCAATTGAGCAAGTAATTGTCTCAAGAAAGGGTCATATGACCCAATTCAAGCCCTGCCCCACCCCCACCGTGCATCTGTTCATGACCTCGGACGAGTCACTTAGCATCCTTGAGCCTCACTTGGCTCATCTCCAAAATGAGGATAATATACCTGCGTGCTGAGTGGTGGGGAGGACCCCACGAAGGTGACACAAAGCCCTGACACAGCACCCAGACTTCCTGACAGCACCCTGATTTATGCCCAAATGGTGACCCCTAGGAGAAGGCACTGAATGTGACTGGGCAAAATGAAATCCTCCACTCTAGCTGTGACTCCGTCATCAACTATCCGGGTGAATTCGGCCAGAAACCTCACCTCTGTGCTTGAATTTCCTCATCTTCAGTAAATATTATCATTGTCCAAATAGCTACTATTGCCAAATTTTACATAACTGTTAAGTGATGGAACTGTATTTAGATCCAAGTTTTTGCTCTTAATTACACCACAGAAATGAATAGATGAATGGACGAACTTCAGGAATCAAGGTGTAAAGCCCCCTTCCTCGGGAGGGTCATTCTGTTGGACGCAGGGCCTACAGGAAGGGAAGACCCTGCAGAAGTGAGTTTCACTGCATTCGATCTGCCCAGCTTGCCTTCTTTATTGCACTCAACCAGACATTAATAAAACTACTGGAGCCTGTTTCCTCTCGGGGAGAAGATGCAAGAGGCACGCCTCCTCGACAGCTCCCGCATTTGGACGCCAAACGCTGCACACTGCTACCATACAGAGAATGGGGTACATTTTCCTCTCTCTGGAATTGCTAAATGCAAGCTCTATAAAATTTTCCATTCTTAACAGAAGTCACCAAAGCCAGCTTCTCAATTTGATTCAATCCAATGAATATTTAGGGAGCAACCGCTCTGGGGAAGGCCCTGGGCTCGGTGCTGCTGGGGATTCAAAAAAATTGAATTCCAAAAATGCCAGCTGATATCGGGGCTGGGCTTAGTAAAGCTTCGTAGAGCACTGCTTCACACAGCAGCCCACTGAGCCCTCACAGCACATTCACGTGGACAGCCAAGCAGGGAATGAAGTAAAGAGGGTCAGAGAGGTTAGGTGATGTCATCAGAGACACAAAGCTTCTGGTGGAAGAACTGGGGCCTGAAAGCTGGTGTTCTGGTCGCTGATCCCAGGTGCCTTCCTCGGCCATGTTGCTCCTTATGAGCTCACACTGCAATCAGCTCCCGCTTTAATGTCCCTCTTGAACGGCGTTGTGGGCCCACGCCTCCACAAGCATGCATCAAGCACGTATTAAGTTTCCACCATGTGATTAAGTCTGTGGATTTAAAGATGGGAGAGGTACTGGCCCCGGCCCTAAGACATTTAACAATGTCTTTGGTGGGCTCAAGGAAATTCTAGCACCCACCTTCAGTACTGTACTAACTGCTATCAAGAGCATCTTGCCCAGGGGTCATTTTCAGAACCTTGGACAGTGCCACTGGTGCACAGGATTGAGGTATTCAAGGTGTCTGAATGCAGGAGGGTTTAGGACCTTCTCCAGTCCTATACAATGGGCTGCAGAAAATGGTCCATGCAGGGAATTCTCCTTAATCATCTAAAAATTGCAAGTGTTCACTCACAATGATTTTATTTTTTTTTAAATTCCTTCATTAAATCATCAGATCAGTCCATGTGTTTTCATCCCTGTATTCCAAGTGTTAATACTTTGCTTTATCTGAAGTAAGAGGCCACAGATGTATGAGGTTTCTTTCTTCTCTCGCTCCCTCATTTATCATAACAAAATTGGCATCCAAGAGGAGGACTACACATCATTCCATCTGAGCTTCCAAGGTGAGTTGAGAAGCTGCCTCGTGGATGAGCAGGCGCGACACCGTGGGCCTCTCACTCCTTAGCGGGACCCACGAAGTAAAATAACCGCCCCTCACGCGTCTCAGAGCAAGTGTTGCTGACCTGGGCACCCAGGGTTGAGGAGACTGTGGGCTGGAAGGTCAGACAGATCTGGGTTCAAAGTTCAGTTCTGCTTCCTAAAGGCTGTGTGACTTTGTACCAGTCATTCAAGATCTCTGTACCAATGTTTTCATTGGTAGAAAAAGAAAAATAACACCTTCACCCTTTAGCTTCATAAGGATACGTATTCATATAAAAATATGCTATTGATAGGCATTCAGTACTTGCCAATTATGGATCAGAAATATATGTATGTAGAGAGCTATACATTAAGAATGCACTGCATGCTTGCATTTCACTTTAAATCTACATAACAACAGCATGACTGTGGGGAGAGCGCTGCCGCTGCGGAAGCCCAGCCTTGCAGAGGTCAGAAGAAACCTGTCTCAGGCTGTGGAGACAGTTGGCAGCTTTTCTGATCTGAACTCTTTGATATAAAATTGCTCTCATTATATTGGAATTAAGAATCTTCTAGGTTTCCTAGTTTTACTCTGGCAAAGCCACACACATTTATCCCAATGAGGAATGGGCCTTGATAATGTAATATAAATCTGATCTATGGACATTTCAAAATAAGAGTTATCTTACTTCAAAACACAGTAACTTGAAAGAGGCAGTGGCGTGTTGCCAGAAGCAGCCCAGCGGAGTCACTGGCCAGTGGAATGTGCTGCGTTCTTAGTGAGCATCCCTAGTATCTGAACTCACATCATGAAGTGAGCCCAGACTCCCTCGGGGTGGCCTCTGCCCACATGGTTATTTACAGGCCAGTAAGTTCTTAGCCGAGGGAGACACGGAAGGCTGAGACAGTCCAAGCCACGGCAAAGTCAGTACCAGTCAGAACCACGGGAAAAGCAAATGCGACCAGGAAGGTTTCAACTGGCACCGAGAGTTTTCATTCCATTTGACCTAAAAGGAAACTAGATCCCCAGACTCAACACTGGACACCCCATGGGAAAATGGTGGCCTGTTTGGGACCTGGGGCTCTGAAGGCAGGCTGCCTGGGCTTCAGCTCCGGCCCCACGCTGGGTGACGGCACGCGCTGTGGCCGGTAAGTCCACTCTCGGGGGCCCAGTTTCCTCCTGTGCAAGCTGGTGACGGCACCACCACCTCTCAGGGTGACGGGATGAGCTTCTGAAATAGTGTAATGCTCGGAAATGAGAAGGGCTCTTATTTTCAGACCCAGAGGTGTTCAGACCGGACCTTGGGCTGGGCGGGGTGACTTACCGGAGCTCCTGGCGGCCCAGCTGGGCCCTGGTGGCCTCGTGGTCCCGGAGCTCCCTGGCAACACAAGCCAAACGTGCATTAGGCAGGATGCCCCCTGCCCTATGACCCAGGCTGCCCCCCCACCTGGGGACCTTTGCATTCCTGGCACAGAGTCAACAGACACATCTCTGAAAGGCTCCTTCTGAGCTCAACCAGCAGCTTCAGCCCCACGGCCAAGGCCTTTTGATTCCTGCGCCCACCTGACGCCCACCACAGGAGGACCCACATTGCCCTTACCTGCTCGCCTTTCAGACCTTCTCTCTGCATCTGGGGGACAGACCAGGTGTCAACAATGGTAGTAGCATTTTCTCAACAGTCAGCCTCCCTCAGTGCCATTAAGGGTGGTCACACACAGTGCCGTAATGCAGCCCCCTCTGACTTCTCTGATTTTATCCCCATTTCAGTGCTGGGAGCCTTGTATCCAGCTCAGGTCCCCAGGAGAGCACCACATCCTTCTCAGAGGAATGGACTCTTCCACTGCCCCGGGCTATCAGCACATGAGCCATGCTTCCAGGCGCTGAGGGCCACACCACTTACCACAGAGCCCGGGACGCCAGGAGGCCCTGCGGGCCCCACGTCTCCCTGTGGAGAAATGTCAAACATTTCAACAGATTGTACTTCCTGCTGCCTTCTCCCCACCACCTTCCCCAGCCCGCTGAGGCCCTGGCTGACCCCTGTGGGCCCATGGGACCACCTCCTTCTTCACACTCCACTGTACATTGTCACCAGACCCATCTCACGAGAGCCTCAGATTTTGTTTAATTCTAATCTCTGCACCAAGCGTGTAGGAACCTTGTTTTCTCTGCATCAAGAATGTAGGAACTTTTGTTAAGCACGTCCAGTCCAGTGCTTACACGTCGGGGACCTCACAAACACCTTCCTCTCAAGAGCAGCCCTGGTCCTCTGGTCAAGGAGCACCTGCTTCCACTAAGCACTGAACTGGGCACAGCAGGGTGGGGGCTGTACAACGGGGCATCCTTCGTGCCACGTCCATGGCTCAGCACATGGTTAGCATTCAACAAACACCAAATAAATAACTAACACAAATGCCGTGATGACCCCCATCCACCTTCAGCCAGTTGTGACATACAAGAGACTTGCTTTGTGTCCCCTCCCATTATCTCCAGGTCACCTGAGCGAGGCTGGCTGTGGCTAGATCAGATTTTCCAGGGTGTAAACTACATCTTGTTTCTACATGGGGCATATCTGTCGATGGTGGCAAGGGAAAGTCTTCGGTGCTATTACTCTAAAGCCGTCCAGCTGAAGGACACTACGTGTAGCCAATGTCCCACGTAAGGCATGGGAGCATATTTATTTTCATTTTCCTGAAGGGCAAGCTCGGGGAACATAGGAAGCATTAAGAAAATACTGCTGAGTAAGTTGCAAAGAATGAATGAGTCTCTGAATAACTATGACAGCTTCTATTACATCCTCAGCTGAGGAGGGGGCTCCGGGCACAGCCTCATCTTTCCTGCATCGGAGCTGCTGCTACAGGACGGGGCATGTTCCCGGACACCGAGACCGAGGCAGCCACAGCCTGAATGTCCCACCGCTGCCCAAGACTTGGGAAAAACACCCCCTCTTTATACAGCGAGCACCCCATTTCCTTGCTCTTCCTTCCTCTCTGCCTCTCGCGTGATAATTGAGCCCTGCTTTGGAAACATCTTTCCATTCTAGTTTCTTCCCTCCACGGCACCCCCATCCACGTACACCCGTGCTCACACACTGCATGGTCTACTGTCTGTCACCCCCCCAGAGGCTTCTATGCCATGTGCACACGACAAGCTCCACGCACTCAGAGCTCAGCTTCAGAGCCCCCATTTCTCCATAAGCACCCCGCTTCCCCCGGCAGAATCCTCCTTCCATCCTCCCACGAGCCTCACTGACACCTGTTAATGTGTAATTGGTAGAAGGCATTTTGAACTCTATTGTTGTTTTTTTTTGTGGCTATCTTAAATGAATATATATATATAAATATATAAAAACATATGTAAGTAAGAGAGATCAGGAGAGACAGTTACATGTGGCTGAATAATGACTCATGAAGTTTATAAGCACATCTTCCTTTCGGTCACCCTCTGCCCCATTATCACAGTTGCTCTTACTGTTTTACTGTATTTATCATCACTAATTACACCACAGAAGGTGAATTGTCATCGATAGCTATGAAATCCACTAATGCATACATGTTTCCTCATTAGCATAGTAATTTTACAGACTGTGAGGTCAAATGTCCTGACATATTGAATCATTATTAAGGGAAACGAAGATCCCATAGTTCATCCACAGTGAGGGCGTCCGGGTGGCTAATGGGGGTGGGGCCGTTCTGTCTGCCAGGCCTTGTTCTACGACTTGACATGGATCAAATCTTTTCACCTCCAATATTATTTTTTCTCTTAGAAATAAGGGGAAGCACAGAGATGGTCAGCAACTTGTTCAAGGTCAGAAAGCTACTACGCATTAGAACTGTCCATCTGTCCTTGAAACATTTTCTTTTCACTATGTGGGTGACACATTTTTGCAGAGATCAGTCTTAGCCAATGTGCAGTCAGCCCCCAAGATGCCCCAGGGGCCCCTCCTCCTGGCATTCAGACCCTAGGGCGGTGACTTCCCACACGCAGCAGACCTGATGGTGTGCGGCTCCCAAAGGGAACTGCGAGCATGGCTGGGGCTTCTTCAGATTCCCCACCCCGACTGGAGACCACTCACCTCCCCGCAGGGAAAGCCACTCCCACTTGCGTGAGCGGCCCTTTGGCAAGGCCATGCGAGGAGGGGACGCCTCTGGCCGGCAGCCAGCAAGGAAGTGAGTGCCCCTGAAGCGGGTCTTCGGGCGAGATGGCTGCATCCTGGCTCACGGTGTGGCTGCGGCCTCCTGCAGAGCCTGAGCCAGAGCCACCCAGCCATCCGGGCCTAGATGCCCGGCCCCCAGAAACTGTGGAGACCGTTTGTTGTTGTTTTGTACTTCTAAGGTTCAGGATGACTTGTTACGTGGCAGTAGATTCAGTCACTCCAGTAAAACCCTTACGCGGTGCCCACTGTGCAGCCCCCTGAGGCTGGGATTAGGGGGGGGCTCACCACCCGGCAGGGGGACCCACAGGCCTCGGTCTGCAGCCGCTGTGGGGGCTTGGGCAGGACTCCCTACTGCTCTGGGCCTCTGTTCTCTCATCTGCAAGAGGGAGTCTTAAAAGATCGGGTCTGTGGTTCCAATGACTTTCTCAAATTGTAAAACACCAGAGATTTTCCTCAACGATGTTCTCTCAGAATGAATGGAAAGGCATCATACCCTCTGAGCACCCCTGCTTTCTTGATTATTCCGATGAATGCCCTAAGTCATACCGTGACCCTTGGCCTTGCTTCCTACTTCTGCTGCATCCAAAATAACAGGCCATGGTAACTCAGCCGTTTCCCAAACAGGAGGGGCCAAAAGCACCCACAAAGGAGGTGGAAGGTTGGAATCTGTAGTAAGCACACACACGCACACACACACACACACATGCACACACACAGGAAAACCACAACTGGACCCAAACTACAAGACTCATTCCATCTTAGCAACTTGAAATAAACTAGTTATTTTAGGACAGAGCATCCCTTGTCAAGGAGCTGGAAGAATATGTTAAAATCCTGACAGCAGGATAATGCAGCAATGTAAATCTCCACTCTAAAAATCCTTAGAAGGAGGGAGGGTGATTAACTCAGCTGGAATTGAAGCCCAAGTGAGCAGGTTTGAAGATATTAACATTTTCCAGCCGCCATTCCTAAGTTGAGGTTTTTCCAGCCTGCAGGCCTGTTTATTTATTTATAACATACACCCTGTTCGCTTCTATAAGGAGTTCAGAACAGCCTTTCCCATTCCCTGTATCTTCAGCGTTCGCGAGGAACTCGTCAGCTGGAAGCGACCTTCCCCTGAGCTCCGCAGTGGGAGCTGAGTGTCAGCGATGCCCCTCTGGCCTCCCTGTGTTAGCCCCCCCGGGGTCCCCCTGCTCTCCGTTCTCCCTCCCCAGCCGTCCTCAGCCCCAGTGTCTGATGCTTCCCTAAGGGCCTAGGATTTTGGAAGACAGTCATTCCCTTGGACTCAAATGCAGGGTTGTACCTCATCAGCCCATTATTATTGTCCAGAATGCATCCTATGGTCTGGGTTTCCCTGCTACCCTGAATGCTTAGGACAGTTACTATCCTTGCCTACATTCTCATAGCACTTTGTATTCTGCAATGAATTTTCACATGCAGTTTTTCTTCATCTGAAATACAGAAATCATAAGCAGCATATGTATTGAGTTAAGCTTTGTTGAGAAAATATTCTAAAGTAGATGACCAGTATGATGAGATACAACCTCTATTTTGTTTATGAAAGATCCATACAGTTTAAGGATGATTAAAAAAAAAGTTTTTAAAAATGTTGCACAGGAGATAGGAGGAGAAGGAGTTTGTAAGATTTTTTTTTTCGGTGTTTATTCGTAGCCTGCCTTAGTCCAAAAAGCAATTTAAGTAGCATAATATTTTAATAAGTCTGAATATTATTTAATAGGGTTGTTGGTTGTTTTTTAAACTGATTTTTACTCCTAAAAGTAGAAAACAATTAAATGCAATAACCAGAAATGTCTTGTTAGCTGAGTTCCTGATGCCCAACTCAGCACCTCGGTCTGGGCTTTGTGCCCAGAACCCAGCCTCCCCCCACAGCCCCAGGCCCTGATTTGTCCAGGTGGGCAGCGGGCCCTCACCCCAGGGCCCTGCTTACCTTCTCTCCCTGGGGCCCGGCCATGCCAGGGGGTCCAGGTCTTCCCTGGAGGAGAGAGAGAAAAGGTGGGCTGTCAGTGGTGGGGGTGGAACGGGAGGAGGTCAAGGGCAACACACTTCCAAGCGGTGATTTGTCTTTTCCCAGAGACACAAGCCCCCTCGGACCGACTTCTCGGACTGTGCTCATTGCTAGAAGGTTCTTGCTCGCTAACCTGAGTGCCACACAGCCATGTGGTCCCCCTGCGCTCGTGCTGGTGCTGCAGGTGAAGAACGACTCTGAGCGGACCAAACGCCGCTTCCTGAGGGCCCTGAGGAACACTTCAGAGCGGATCCAGGCGAGAGGCAGGGAGCCCTGTTGGGAGGTCTGATGGGGAGCCCCCGGGGGTGCTGAGGACCGGCTGAGGGGTGAGGGAAGGGCTCTGCACCGGGATGAGTCGATGCCCCAGAGGGCCGGTGCAGGACGTGCTGAAGCCCAGCCCTCCTCTCAGCGCCCCCCTGGGAAGCCTCATTGGGCATTTGAAGCCCCCGCAGGAGCAGGAGGCGAGGGGGGCTGGGAGCCACCCCACACTGGGGGCCCTCCTGTGAGCCTCCTCCGAGAAATGAGGGGAAATCTGGAAGGCGGGTGGACGATCCCTCCTGACCAGTGACTCTTACAGGACCTGCTCACTCCAAAGGCGTAACTGGCAATGCACCTGTACACGCGTGTGCAAGCCCTCACTCCTTTCACTATGATCGTGACGATCAGAGGGGAGCCTGAACACCCCTGACGGGAGACTACGCCTAATGCTCATGCTCCTCTGTTCCAAACCCTCACCTGCTGCCTACACACCAACAGTATTCCATCTATTTGCTGATTTACTATCACCATTGTTTATGAGGGAACATTCACACCGCAGAATACTAGGCGGTCATTGAGTCATGCCTTTGGTACATATTTGAGAAAACAGTTACACATTTATGACTTAAGGGAAAGGACAAGATTTACAAACAGATGATTCCCATTTGGGGCAATGGGATTCATGATCAATTGAATGTACATTAACAAGGTCATTGAATTTAATCCATTTATTGTAATGAACATATATGTCAAATATCATTTATGTATTTAATTATTTTATTTATAAGCTAATAATATAAATGTACTAGTTGATAGATTGATATTAAATTGTGTTATACAAATGAGTATTTTCCTATTTGTAGTAAATATTTGTTTCCAAGCAGATATATGATTTTAGATTTTAATACATTTTTTAAGCACTTAACCATTTAAATATTTAAATTTAGTTGCACTTCGAACAATATATTTGCATGTTCCCCCATTTAAGTGCATAAAAGTTTCTTTCCCGTCCCCTCCACCGGCCACCCAGGGTCCTTTCCCTGAGGCAACCCAGGCACACAGTCACCAGTCCCCTCACTGTCCTTCCAGACACCTCACTGTCTGTATTCCACAGAACACTTCTCTCCACACCACCCTACACTCCGTTTGCACTCAGCGAAGCATCTTAGAGAGCACCCCCATCAGCACGCTAGGAGCGTCATTAATTTCCCTGGCTTCCTAGCATCCCCTGCACCAATACGCCTGAAGTGCTCCCCAATTCCACAGAGGTGATTATTTGGGCTGTTTGTAATCTTTTACTCTCTTGGACAAGATTACAGGGAATACACCTGTTTGAACCCACACCCACTGCCTGTGGCCTTTATGTTAATGCTCACATGTACCCCTGAGGTGGGGACAGATGGGAAGTGCTGTGTTCTCTGGGCCTGCGCCCTTGTGTTGGCAGAGTCCATGCGCGGCTGCAAGCCGGGGGCTGTCGCCGAGCCTCCAGCTGAGCAGGACGGAGGCCAAGGCGCCCAGGCCCTCAGAGCTCTGTGCCTGAGCCCAGGCGCTCCTGTCCTGGCAGAAGCTAGCCCGCTGGGGCCAGTACCCACCTACCTGCTCTCCTATCTCTCCGTGCTTCCCAGGGAGTCCATCCAGGCCTCGCTCCCCCTGGCAAAAGAAGGAAAAAAAAAGGAGAAATTGGTTCAGTGACCAGTGGACATCCCCAGGGACAATGCCATGCAGAGGAAAGGCCAGCAAAGCCCTTAGCATCAGATCATGCTCAGCCCCATGCTCCGCCAGCCAGCTGTGGATACAGGAGAGCCAGACACACACATGACCTTGGATAGCTAATGTGATTGGGGGTCAAAGAGCACATGTCAAAGGTCACAGGAACCAGATTCCTATCTCTGTTTTTCATTTCCCAAATCCATGATCAAGGCAGGCATGTAGCCTCTTTGAGCCACATGATTTCCTCCTCTCAGGGGTCTCCACGGGGGTCAAACAAAGTAGTAGATGCACAGGGTCTGGAATGCGGTTCCTAAGACTGTGGGCACCCTGCCTTCATCACTCACCCATCCAGTGAATGAGCCCGAACATCCACTCCATTCCCAGGGTTGGGACAGACCGCAGGGCTCGGTGCTGGCCAGCGCCAGGCCACCCCCTGCACAGCCGGCCGAGGTCCAGCCTCGGCCCCCGTTCACACCGAGTTGGCTCTGAGCCTCTGGGGCAGTCACCTCACCTCTCTGGGACACGTCTGTTGGCTGGGTTTCATGGGGATGACAGCAGTCGCTTCATCGAAAGACCCCTATGACTGAGGAACGAGGTGGCCTGCCTACAGCACCGGCTCAGGGCAGGTGTCATGACAGCCAGCACCCTTCTCCTGTGCGCGCGTGCTTGTGGGCCAAAGATGTCCTGTGCCCCACTCATGGGCGGACTCCTGTCTGGTGTGCCCAGCTGGGCCCTAGGAGCTCAGCTTCTGGGGAAAGCTGACTCCCAAAGGCGGGCTCACGCTCGTATGCACAGCCCACTGCCTGGCACGCCAGCAGCCGTGGCTTCCTCCTTGGAGTTCCTCAAATACAGCAACTTCTATCTTGTTTCCATACCCTGGTCCCTTCGCTGGCTCCTCAGCACCCTTCAGGGCTCCCTTAAATGTCACCTCTTTGGCCTTCCAGTCCAAATTAGATGCCCTGGTCTCCTCCAGCAGGGTTCACACTGTCTCCCTGGCAGCTCTTAATTCAACGTGCACGTATTACCTGTTTTCCTGCCCTTTCCTGCCTCTCACATGAGGACGTGAGCTGTGTCCACTCTTTTCATCGGTGTGTCCCCAGGGCCCAGCCCAGGGGCACTGCGGCCCCAGCTGACATTCTCTGAATGCCCAGAAGACCACATATGAACATTATTTTGAACACTCCTTGTATTTCTCTATAACTACGTCATAAGTTGCTATTTCTTTGTGGCGGCGGCAGGCTAAGGTGGGGCTTCCTGACAGGCCGGACGTGCCGGCAGTTTTCTTTCCGGGGTAGATGCTCCCACTCCTGAGGACTGCTGTCTATCTGGGGAACGGTTCTCCCTCTGCCTGGTGGCAAAAATGGGTGCTTTCTAGAGGCCATTTCAAGCAGAGATCAGTAGAGGGGCCGCTGCACTCAGCCGCTGCCAGTGTGGGGCCCCCGTCCATCACCGAGAGCCGCCCGGGCCCCTCTCTGCTCCCACAGCCGCCAGTGTGACCATAAAGGGGGTTCCAGCACCTCTCAGTCCTGTGGCTGGGTTTGCAGCTTCCTTCCACCTTGCATCTACGTAACCTTAACCATAAAGATTTTCTATCCTCCAGAAGTTATTAAAAAAAAATCTAGAATAATGATATACAATTTTCTATTTTCAAGCACTATTACATATTAATTCTTTAAAACATTTTTTCATTACGTGAGACTTGGGTGGTTGAGGAGGACAGCTGCCTGCATTGTATCTCTCGGCCAAACAATCCCACGTCTGCTGCCAATCTTCCCTCCCTCCCAGTGTCGTGAGGCTGGCAGGCTCGAGGGCCAAGGACGGATGAGGAACCTGAGGCCCCGGCGAGGTGTGCTCGCTCTGGCACCAGAATCCGGGTCTCCTGGGTCTCAGTCCTCTAGTTGTCCTACCCTCGGGGCTGGTGAGGCACAGGGGGCAGTGGTCAGCCTCGGGACTCAGACTCAAGCCCTGGCTCGCCCCCTCCCCAGCTGTGTGACTTTGGGCCAATTACTTAGCATCTCTGTGACTTCGTTTCCATCTACAAGCAGGGCTAGCACTTACCTCAAGGTGAGGAGGGCTCATTGATGTAAAATGCTTAGGACGATGTGTGGCACATGGAAGGTGTGACAGTACAGGCTGGTTAAGTAAAACCAAGAGACACTATGTGAAATGGGAGAGGGGAGAAAAACAAGACAGCTGAAGGTGGGAGAGGAAGGGGTCTGAGCTGGGGATGGAGGGGTGGGGGGGCCATGCGCTAGGGCCATGGGACGGGGGCCCCACCCTGACTCTGTCTGCCTGCCTCGGGGGACCGTCCGCTCAGCTCTGGGATTCAATTTCCTAATTGGGTTGAAAAAATGAGAAACGGCAAGCAAGGAGGCTGTAGCGCAGGAACTCCAAGACTTCCTGATTTCCACGTTCCTGAATCGATAGGAGAGTGTGCATTTATGCAAATTAAAAGAGGATAAATCCTGTCTCAGCATCTTCCAGGTACCAGGTGCCAAAACAGGCACTCTCCTGACTAAACTTCACATCGGTCCTATGACAGACCGGCCCCTGGGGGCTCTGTCTGGGCCGAGGGCTCTGGCCCCGGTTCTGAAGGGCCGCCAGCAGAGGGAGGGCGCACCCGCCCGTGGCAGCTCTGAACTCTTGGGGCTGGTCTGCCCCGTTGATGTGGGAGCAGGTGGGCAGTGTGGCACCCTCCTCTGGGCACTTGTTCAGGAAACGTTACCAAGTGAATGTGCCTCTGTGTGCCCAGCACATTCAACAAACACTTAGCACAGTGAGAGCTAGTGGGCACGTCATCCACCCTTCAGAACAACACAAATCAGGGTGATGGTCTTGCTGACTTCCGTAAGGCAGAGCTGGGGGCCCCTGCTGGCAGGGTGGATCATGGCTTCTGTCCCTTTAAACCTCCCACTCCATTTTGTTAACATTCAGGGAGTGTCTCCCAGGCGCCTGGTTCTGTGTTGAACTAATTTAATAACTAACTAATTTAATTTGATCCTCGCAGCTACTTCCTGAGACAGGTATCATCATCCTTAAGTGTCGGACAGGGACATGGGGGTCAGAGAGGGTAGAAGTCTGTGGAGGGCCCCAGAGGCCGCAGAGGCGGAGCCGGGTGGGGACCTGGTCCTGCTGACCCCAGAGCTGCTGCTCTCACCTACTAGGGTCGCCGTGCTCTGGGCTTACTGCTCCCAAGCCAGGGCAGGGGACCGGGGAAGTCCTCTCCAGGGCCTAGAGAACTGGACCAGCGCGTGCCCCACAGCTGTCCTGGGAGCATGGTTTTCCAGAGCTGGGCCCACGCCTCCAGTTTTTGGCTCCCTAGTGAGCACCCTCCTCTCTGTGACCAGCAAGGTTCACCTTATAATTTGCCAACCGTCCCAAGCCTGGGAGCCCTGGACAGGCCATCTGCACCTCAATTACCAGGACATCCTTGTGCCCAGAGGGCCTCCACACCTCGCTGTGCCTACAGAGGCACCTTCTGGAAAATGGCTATAGCAGGGCTGCCCCCGCCTTCCAGAGGACGCCCTGCACATGCGGCCAGAGGCGTCCTCCATGGGGCATGGGTGCAGCTCACTCCGGCCCAGCTCCGTGCTGGACAAGGCCATCCGGAAGGGCCTGTCTCAAGGGAAGATGGAAGCTTCCTTTTTGCTGAGTTAAGAAATCAGAGGAGTTCTTGATAAAATAAACTGGCCTTTGTGCCCATCACATGTAAGAACTGGAAAGGGTCCTGAGGGACCAGGCAGTCCAGACCTCTGGCTTGATGGAAGGGGGATGGAGGGACAGAGAGGGGACGGACCGGCTTGCCTCAGGGCCGCCCAGGCAGTTAGCAAGGGAGTTGGGACCCATCCCTGGAGCTGAGCCAGCCGCGTCCAGCCCAAGCTCCCCTCTACTGTCCTGCACCCCTATCTCTTTCTGTTTTCCTGTCTCTAGTCTCTCCATCTCTGTGTCCCCTCCCTCTGTGTGGCACATGTTACCCAGCACTGTTCTAAGCATTTTACAGATAGTATCTCATTTAATCTTTATAGCAGCCTTAGAAAGAGATACAATTGCTCTCAGCATTGAGGAAACCTGAGACTCAGAGGTTAAAGTATTCTCTAAAGGTAACACTGCTTGCAGAGCCCAGAGCTGGGACTCAGATGCAGGCCCGCTGGCTCCAGAATCACTGGATGGGGCTTCCTCTGTGCCAGGATGTGCCGCCCGGTGCGCCTGGACAGAGGCCAACGCGAACACCAGCAGAACATCCTCTCCCGGGCCTCACCTGGAGGCAGCCTCCACTTCCCAAGCTTCCTGCAGGGGCAGAGCCATGGCCAGTCTGAAGACAAAGTTCAGGGAAAGTCGACTGTGCTATGTTTCTGGCAGCACTTCAGGCCTGTGTGCCTCAGTGGGAAAGCCCAGGCTGCTGGGAATGAGAAGTTTCTAGCACTTTCTCTCTTTATTCTGGGCTGCAATGCATGAGGAAACGCATTGCCTCTGGGCTCCGCTTCCCACCTGTGCAATAAGGAGAGCTCTCCAGCCTCATCTGGGTCCTTTCCAGATCTGGTAATTTAGGGTTCTGATAGGAAGGCAGTGGTTCTTGGTGGGAGACAAGCTGTAACTCAGGACTCCCAAAGCCTGCTGGAAAGGCAGCCCACCACGGCTGGGAAAGGCCCCACTTCTCAGCAGATTCTGGCCAGAGCACAGCGCCAAGTGTGCGCAGACAGCTTCCCTGAGACTCGGGCCAGAGCTGGGGATGCCTGCGCCCTGCAGCGGGACCTTGGCGTTGAACCCGGATCTGATGGCGGGGTCCTGGGGGTCCGTACCTTCTCCAGATGCAGCCGTCTCTTGTCCTTACATGACCTGGCCGTGTCCGCACTGCTGTCCTTCGCTCTGGTCGCACACCCTTGATTCACGGGGTATCCTTAGAGGGGATCCCATCTTAGGACATGTGATCTTATGAAGGACACACCTATTACTCACTAATTTATTTGGCAAACACCCATCAAGGGCCAGCTCTGTTCCAGGCCCGACCCTGAGCCCTGTGTGCCTCGCGCAGCCTGGAGCTGAGTGCCTCTGTGAATCTTCTCGCCCACAGGACTCTCGGCACCGTGAAGGCAGCACCTGGGCCCCTGTCCTTGCTGTTCCCGCCACAGGTGCTCAGGAGGTGCTTGAGGAAACTGAATGCCTGGTGACCTGTTAGGACCCCAGGCCAGGGCACGGGCCTGGGCCTCGGACGGCACTCTGAGCTGACAGCGAGGACCGAAGCCCACCCCGCTGGGCCTTTGGCCGCGTCACAGCGGAACACTGACTTTCTCAGGGCTGTGGACACCGAGCCCCAGCTTCCCTCTTGCTGCTCTACAGCCCGGCCCTGCTGCCGGCCAGCTCTCCAAGCGCTGCTGCTCCCAGGCAGGGGGTTCACAGACCCTGTCCCCTCAGGCACTGGGCCGCCCTCCAGCCGCCCTGCCCCGCACCTTGCTCCTCGGTCATTCCAGATGCCACCAGCAAGTCCCCACGGAGAGGAGCGTAGCCATGCGCACACTCAAAGCCGTGTCAAAACTCTCAGGAGAACCAGAAGACACACATTCTACACCACTGGGTTTTTTTAAGTTACACTGATTAAAAGCGACTCTACAAAGCAACAGAAATCACACTTTGGAGCCTAACGTGGGCTTCCATGCCAGCCCCTGCCGCCCTTCAGGCATGGGAGCCTTTTGGAAAGCAGGGGGGCAGTGAGCCACACATGAGCTCATTTTCTTTGCTGGGCATCTCCCTTCTGGAGAGCAGTCCAAGAAAAGAACCCTAAATGTGAAACTAAACAAATAAATATAGCTATAGTTTAAAAATTTCCACCAAAGCATTATTTTTAATCATGAGAAACTAGAAAGAATCCTAAATGATCAATAATGGAGAAATGGACACATAAATCATGGTCTCTTCATGCACCGGAACATCGTGCAGCTGTTTAAAATAAGTCATAAACATTTCCCAGCAGCGTGGGAGAAATACTACACATGAGAACAGAAGCAGGGCAGGCGGCGGCACTGCATACAGTACATGTCACTGTGCGAAAAGAACTCGGATAGATAAGCCCTGCAGAAAATGTGCCGAAGTGTTCACTGGAGTTGCATCGGGATGGCGGGGTTATAGGCTAACTTTTGCTATCTTCCAGATACACTGAAATTAAATTAAATGACTTAATAACAGAAAACTTCCTTATAAAATTAGAGGAACACATACAGTTGGAAGATAAACAGGATAAACTCACAGGTGTCTGGGATGCAGCTTAGCACACGAGGGCCAAGTTCCAGTTCCTGGTCGGAAGTGGCCCTGCAGATGGGCCTGGGGAAAGCCTGCCCGAGTTCAGTGTCAGCCACTGTTTGGGGAGCTATGGGGGCTGCAGTCCTTGTTCCCACCCAGCTGAACCCTGAGCCCTGATGGCATTAACACACGTGGAAGGATCCAGTCTGAGGATGCTCTTGGTGTAGTTGGTGGCGTAATTATGGAGGAGTGGCCAGCCTCAGCCTTGTCCAGCATGCTGGCCACCATGGCAATGCCTGGTGAATGAGGCTAAGTGTGGGTCACAACTATCACCATGCACCCTGGCTCCTGGGGTCCGGGTAACTAATGGAGAAGTCATGTAACTTACCAGGTGAGACGTGAGGCCGTGGCAGCATCCGAGACTATTAAGTCTCAGTCCCTCTTTCAAAACGTCTCCAGCCTGGAAACCCTAAACTCTGTTTGAACAAGGGAAATACAATACCTACAGGTACAGGCCCAGAACCTATATACACAGGGGAAACTTATGCATTACCTGCACAGGTGTTCGCCTGCTGCATGTGCACACACAGGCACACACATGCCCATGCATGGGCACACACACGGGAGCCCACAGCAAGCACAGAGCGGGTGGCCCCAGGGGCCCCCTCTTTTCTACAGAAGGCTGTACCGGTGGACCGGATGATGTAAATACCTTTTCTCCTCGAGTCCCTTTTTCACCCCGTTCTCCTTGGAGGCCCTGGAGGGGGAGGAGGAGAAGACCAGCACCACAACGTGTGAACCCAGCGCCTCTGTGCGGAAGGGCCGAGCGCCCGTAGATGGACCGCCCTCTGCGGTGGAGGCCTGTCTCCCAGGGGTCCCCCTCCTCCCTGGGCCCAGGCAGCCGAGCAAAGCCCCTACGAGAGGGCGAGGACAGCTCCTGGGGCCCTCCGGACACAGACCTGAGCACGCCCTGTCCCGGAACTCAGTTAGCGGAGGGGAGGGATACGGCCTCCGACGCGGTCCGCACTGCCCCCAGAGCCTGAGCACGGAATCAGGGATTTGTCCCCAACACTGAACCCGAGACTCCAGACCCCTTAAACCTCCCCCTGTCCCGTGGCGAGGACCACTGCCCTGCCCTGCACTGCCCCACCCGCAGAAGCAGCACCCAGTTCCTGAGCTAAGAACGCCCTTCCCTCTGTGGGCAGCCTTTATGGAAATACCAGCCACGATGTGGGCCTCTCTGACCACGGGGTCTAAATGACTGACCCCCCCTGCCCGCAGGCACTCCTGACCCTCTCTGCCACACCTTACTGTGCTCTCAGCCCTCAGCCCCACAGGACCAGCTCCCTGTCTCCCCCACGGAGAATGTAAACCCCCGAGGGCAGGGCCTTCCTTCCTGCATCCCTGGAGGTGAGGGCAGTGCCTGGATTGATGTTCATAAACACTTGTTGAGTGAATAAATGATTCAGTGAATGACTATATCAATCCCTCAGCACAAGAATCTCATCCAAGTTTTGCCCCAAAGCTCCTTCCCCACACTAATGTGCAGGTGCTTGCAATGGATCTCAGATGGGTAGCGTGCACAGTGAGACGCCTGGGCCGCCGGCACCAGCTGATGAACGCGCAGCTGCTCTCCGGGCCAGGCATGGTCCTGCTGGACTGAGGGGCAGAGTGCATCCTGTCCTACCAGGTGGACTCTCTGCATGGCGCCCTCTCTCCTCTCCTTTCCTGGAAAAGGGACCCTCAGACATTCTATGGAAAAGATATTACAGAGGGCAGACACTGCCCGGGCCTGCTTGCTGGTCCCAGGAACAACATACGTCTTTGGTGGCTGGAGAAGAGGCACAGGACCAGGGCCCCAGGGTGCTATCACAGAGGGTCTGTGGACCACCAGCTCTGTGGGCAAACTGGACTCCATGCTATTTTAATGCCATTCAAATATTTCAGTCAGACACCCAGAGACCAGAGGTCTCGAATGTCCCCGAGGTGGTGCAGGCCGCCTTGTTCAAACGTGGACTTTTATATCACTTCTTTGATTTGAAGGTGATCTCAAATCTTTCTTAATGAGAACCAAGAATAGTATTAGAGACCCTAGAAGCCACTTTGCTCCTTATATACTTTATGTAACTGTTCACTGCATCCTCCACTGGGCACCTGCCCACTGAGGATCTGACATGTGTCTTGCACTGTTCCAGGGGCTGGGAATTAATAGACTCCATCCACCCGGGGAGTGGTAGACTGACAGGGTGGTAAAAATGGCTTCTGTAGATCAAGTGTCAGAAATGCCTGGGTTGCAGGGTAGAAATGTGGATTCTTGGGCTCCATCTAAACCCACTGCTTCATTGTCTGGGGAAGAGGTCCCAGGAATGTGCATTTAAACTTGATCTCTAAGGAGATTCTTAAGTACCATGACATTTAAATATTTCTGGCCTAAGAGAAGAGCCGAAAACTCTCATTGCCATTGACACAGGCAGGGCAGTGGGCACTCCGTGTGTAGGTGCAGGAGGCAGACCTGTCAGAAAGCCTGGGTTGCCATCCATGCAGTAGGATCAGAACCCCTTCCAGACAATTGCCTTTACTTACAGGAGCTCCAACATATCCGGGAGGTCCGGGAGGTCCAGGCAGTCCTTGGGATCCCTGCAGAGAGCGTTCACAGGAAAGGTGTGGGGTCAGGGAGAAAAGACAGAAGCAGAAGGGATGCCCAGGCAGTACCCGGGCTTGGGGCCAAGGGCCGCTGCTCCTCTGCCAGTGCCATGTGCTGCTGGCACATGGTCTCACCGAGAGGGCCCCACCTCCACTGCCCCAGCTCTATTTAGAGTTCATGCCGACCCCGCCTGGTGAAGCCATGATTCACACCCACAACTACGCCACTTCAAGGAATAGCTAGTGGGTGTTACGTCTGCTCTGCAATGAGGCCAGCACAACAATGTCCATTTCCACTTGCCCTGTGGCTTTCCCATGATCTGGCCACCAAAGTGCACAGCTTCTGATCGATGTGACTGATTCCTTCAGCTAATCATGCCCCCTTTGCCATGGGGCCAGCACGGCCTGGATGAGTCCCGACAAAGCCCAGCGGAAGTCTGCCGAGCCCAAAGGCTTCTCTGTTGCCTGGACCATCGATGCTACAGCTTTTAAGCAGCTCATCTGGCAACATCTGTTAACATCTACTAAAGATAAAGTGTGCATTTCCTCAGCCAAGATTATCCTAATTTTTGTCATCTACCCTATGTAAATAAAAATATAGCACTTAGGGAGACACACAAATGTGCATTTATCCCTTCATTGATTTTAGTGGAAAACAAATGAAATTAGAAACAACCTTCAGAGCCATAAATAGGGGCAAGATCATGTAAATCGCAGTGTACCAGTATTATGGAGCAGCATGCATTAGGAGAATGGGTGGCATCTGTCTGTACTGGCTTGGACAGACGTCTCTGATCTCTCGTTAAATGGAAAAGATAAACAGCAGAGTATGGTATGGTTCATTTTCTGTAAGAATTTAGGAAAAATCACTTATGTGTGGCTATGCACACTGACGCGTGCGTGTCGTTGTGAGAACGGTAGGTAGGCAAGTGTCTGTCCGCCTCTTCCACACATAAAGCAACAGGCTTTGCAAGAAGATTTGTGCACTGGGAATAGCAGAGGAATACAGGTCAGGTGACACTTACCCGCATGCCCACCTCACCGGGCAGCCCGGGCTCCCCCTGCGCACAAAACAGTTCATGGTTATGACCCAGCAGGACCCTGGCCTGGGCACACGGGGCAGACCGAGGACTCAGGGGCCATCTGCTCCTGGAACTCAGAGCTCAGCTGAGGAACTGCAGCTGCTGGCGGTCAGCCTCCCAGGCTGCTCTCGGACAGTCTTCCTACAAGCAGAGCCCGTCCTTTGTGGGGCTGGTACCCTCTCCGCCCCTCTCCGCCCCTCTGGCTCCTGCTGCTGGCGGTCAGCCAAACCGAAGAGGGGAGAACGCACAGCACCGGGAGCCACAGTGAAGGCCTCGCCCAGGGAAGGGGCGATGGCCACCTGAGGGGGAGTGGGGGAGGGTCCAGAACTCCCCTTTCTTCCCTGTCTGCCCCCCACACCTCCTGCCCGAAGTGCTAGAGGCTTGGACCCAGGAGGCGCTCATAGATCAGGGCTCCTGCTCTGGGACCGGCTCACAGGAGGCTGAAAATCTCGAAGGGAACAGAGAGGTAGAGCCCCAGACCTGACTGCCCTCTGAGTTTGTGGTGGAGAAGAGGGTCTCTTTGTGCCGGGGGCAGACCGACCCACGTGAGTTGAGGCCACTGCTTGGGTTTTTGTAGCTACAACCTGGGGACCCGGGTAAATCCCTCACCTTGGACCTCAGCGTGGCTCCAGGTCTGATGTTGGGGACAAGATCTGTGCCCAGGCGCTTGCCAACTAAGGAGGAAATAGCTTCCAAGGACACACAGGCGATGCTAGGTGGCCACAGCCACTGCTGGTGTTGTTATAATTAATGGGCTGGCCCCTGGGGGCCTGGGGAGGTCCCGGCACGAAGGGCCCCCAGCAAAGACCGCCCGCTCAAGGCCACAGGACTCTGACCGGAGGCTGCCTTGTGGGGGGGTGGGGGACACATACCCTCATGCCTTTGCTGCCGTCTCTCCCAGGGGGACCAGGCAGGCCCAGGGACCCCTAGGACAGATGAGAGCCAGAAAAGCAATTAGTGCAGGACAGAGTGTAAGAAATCCAGGTTCTCAGGCTTCCCCTGAGACCCGCCCTATCGGTGGGGGTCCGGGCTCTAATGAGAACCCCCGGTGGTCTGGACACCCGGCAGCCCCTGGCCCACGGCCCCCCCCCGCCTGCGGTCCTTGCTCGCCCCAGGCCCAGCATCGCGCACGGGAAGCAGAGCACCTCAGCCCCGCCCAGCGCGCCCGGGGCTGGAGGATTCTGGCCGCAGGTGCCCTCCGTGGTGTAGGATGGCCCGCAGCACCGCCAGATGCCAGCAGCGCTCCCAGCGATGACAACCCAAATGCATCCACAGCGCCAAATGCCCCCCCTGCCCCGTCCCCGGCTGAGAACCACGGGGCTGAAGAGCCACAGGTCATTAAAACAAACGAAGCCGGGCGAACTCCATCCTCACAAAGCACCCCCAGAGGCACACGGCAGGCTCACTCCCGGAGCAGCTGTCGGGGAGGAAAGGGGGTGTGGGCCAGAGCGCTCATCTCCCCCTCTCCCCCACATGCTTCCTGGGGAGGGTGTGGGGGGACAGTTCAAAATCAGGGACTCCTGGGTCTCTCGGCTACTATCCCACTAAAATCGAAGGACTCCACCAACACCATCAGCCCGCCCTCCCCCGTCAATTCCCTGGGGGACACTGAGCGCACCAGTGCCTCTTTCTGGGCTTTTCCATTCGTGAAACGAGAATGTTGGCCATTCGGTGAATGAGGGAATGGATGGATCTACAGGCAATATTTAGAAGCCACCTGGCGCTGGTCCTGGAGTATGTATCCTTATCTTCCCAAGAACCCCGCCAGATAGGTCTTAGGAAGACCTCAAAGGCATGTCAGACATCACACATTTCTTATTTTTACATATAAGATGCATGCATGTATGTGTGTAAATACACACACACACAGCTTTAACATTCCTATGAAGTGACTCCCAAGGCCTTGTCATTTCATCTATGTCACTATGATAAGAAACAGACAGACTGCCATCTCTGGTCCTGGCACCTGACGGACATGAGTCTGCAGCTCTGCACCTTTCTATCCGTGACCTCAGACGAAGCCACACTGTGTGTCACTGGCCACTCATCTAAATGTGGATGATGGTGCAGCCTCTCCTCCCAGCTCACCGTGACCACAGCCACCCTGCCCCCAACAGCAGAGGCGTCAGACGGAATCGCACTGCACCAAGACACAGTGGCCAGGAAACAGGCCTTGCCTGGGGGACGTGCATCATGCACTGCAAGGGAGACACACGCTTGCTCCCGTCTAACGGTGTAACGGTGGGGGCAGGGCGCTTAGGCTCACACAAAACACCGATCTGCTAGTAAGTGCGTGTGCATTTCAGCAGGGAGACCAGCCTGCATGCTGTGCTTCTGCACAGCCCTCGGGCAAAACTCAACATGTCCCAGGGGGAAATGTCACAGAAGAAGAAGTACTTCCCTGAGGACATGCCCTTGATGGTGCTTCCCTCTGGAGTCAGGCCTCGTGGGGTCACCTGGTACAGAGCTCACCCCGGGTGTTGTACCAGGTGAGATAGCAGGTCCTTGAAAGGCCCGCCTGTCTTCTGGCTGCTGCAGGTGGGCAAGACCCGCAGCTAACGCCAGGTAAGGGGTATCTCCGTGGGCTCCCACCTCAGGAATCAAGGGGGGAGGGCGGCAGGCATGCACCGGAGCTCCCAGGGCGTCTAACAAAGGGAGCCGGGGTGGAGCCCGGAGACAAAGCCAGGGGGACCTCCAGAGAGTTTCGGAACCTTCCCTTTGCCCAGAGGCGCCACATTCCCAGCCTGTTGGCACTTTCCAATAGGTGCCCAACAAGGATCTGGGTGAATCGGTCCCATTCGCAAGACAGGAGCTCTGGGAGGCGGGGGACCAGGACTTCCAGGACTTCCTCCCTTCCACGGTACCCGCCTGGCACAGGCCCCCACAGGTGCGCCACAGGGGGGGGTGATGGGGGACCTCCTACTTTAAAACAGCCTGGGGGCATGAAACCCCCAGGGACAAAGTGAAAGGCAGGATGTGTAGAAAAAGCAAAGGTCTTGGGCCGTAAGCTGTGGCTTTGAATTCCTCACCTCTGAGGACCGATGACCATGGCCAAGCTAGTGAGATGCTCGCAGTCTCAGTCCGTGTCTGTAAGCAGGGGCCACAGACCCAGCTACAGGCGCGCTTCCCAAGGACATGGGCAGCGTGGCAAACTGGTTTTAGATGACTGGCATCAGAACCAGCCACCTCGGCTTAGTTACAGGGGTGGGCAACCCTTGCTTTGCTGAGCACCGACTACAGGCCTCTTTGGGGGCGAGTATTTTCTTTGAGAGGCTAACACCTCGTTTTGAATCTTATTTTACATGGTTGGGATAACCAAGCTAGACCTGCAAACAGACACATTCTGAGAAATTTATACTTTCAAGTCATCATGAGATGCAGGCATTTCATTAGATGGTTTCTGCTCTTAAGAAAATTGTGTCCCAAGAAAAAGTCAACCTGGCCCAGATACTGTTTGAGTATCACCTAGTCTTGACATCACAGAACACCACCATGTCCGTGTGACACACCTCCCCAGTCCTGCAGCCAGACTCACCATTGCCCACAGAGGCCTTGCAAAGAGAAAGCTATGGCCCTGGGCTGCCTGCTTCCCGTTAGGAAGTCACTCACCCTCTCTGAGCCACAGGTTCATCCTTTGTAAGTTAGAGGGGCACAGGCGCACGCTGCTTTCAGATGAGAAAGTGAATGTGAACATAGTTCGTAGACTATAAACTAATACTGAAGGCCAGTTTGTTCTCTTGAGAAGGAAGAAGGGAGTGGAGAGGGACAGGAAGCTGGCCTGGAGTTGGCCATGTCCAGCAGGGGGTGCTTCACAAAGGGGACACGTGCAACTAAAGAGCTGACAGTTAAGTACTCTCCTGTGTGTGGGTTTCAGCCCCAGGCAAGTTCACTCTGGATTCAATGAGACTGAGGAATGACAATGGAATGTTCTTGGGTGAAAGGGTTTATACCCAACTTTATTCTTACGGTGGCAGGTCAGTTACTAGAGTCCTATCCACTCAGAGCAAGTCTGCACGCCGCAAGCCGGTCTCTGCCTCTGGGCCCCTCTGTCCTCATATTCGTCCTCTGGGCCCCTCTGTCTGCACAGCCATCCTCTGGGCCTCTCTGCACAGTCGTCCCGCACAGCTGTTCTCCGGGCCTCTGTCCTTGGCACTGCCACTGCTCCAGCCTCTGCTCTGCTCTCCTGCAGCCTTGCAGCCCTGCCACCGTGTCACCGAGAGCACTGGGTGGAGCTCTTTATATGGAGTCAATAACAACACATTGCCCACACGTGTATAGTGAGCCAGCCAAAGAGGGCCAGGTGAGAATCCTGGCCACAGGAACTCTCATTTTATCCACACTGGCTCAGCCACATGGTAAGAGAAACTCACTCACTCCTGGTCACACAGTTAATAGACTTGTAAAATGAGGACAATATTTACCTCAAAACTAAATGTGTGTGTGGGGCCTGGCGTAGTATTGTTTATAAACACCAGGTACTGTTACTATTCTCAGGTGCTCTGTGGATTATTTGAGATGAACTGAAGAGAGGAAAAGACACCCACTGTGCCCGTCTGTGTGGGCCCACCTGGGCCAGCTAACACCCTCCAGGCTTCCTGAGGCCTTGGGGTTATAGAAGTCCTGGGGGAGGCAGGGGATCTGACATTCCCAGTTCTCAGCCGCCTCTGGGGACAAGACCTCAGGATGCCGAGGATGCAGAAAATGTTATTTGGCATATAAAGAATGAAATACTTTGCTGGAGCAATGGTAGTTATACGTAACATTTATGAGTACTTGGTACAAATATAAGTTATTTATTTTCATTTGCTCATCTCATTAGCGACCCTCTGAGGTGAGCATATTACAGTTGCCAATTAATAGATGAGGAATGCAAGCGTCAGAGAATAGCTTTGAGGTGTCACACAGCTGGGACAGGCCTGGTCTGAACCCAGCCAGTCTGTGGAGGGTCGGAGCCTTCAGCCAACCTGTGCCCTCCTGGTCCATCTGCCCAGCAATTGCCCTCCCCACAAACGTTCTCACCCCCTCACATGAAGCCCTCGGTCCTTTGATGGGCCCTTCAGGCTGGGCAAGTGCCTGAGTGCCAGAAGCTCCAGGGGAAGTGCAGATTTTCCTATTCCAGCTCTGCCGGGGTCTGTGAGATCCCTGAACCCCAAACTTTTCCCACATGTCCTTCAGCACCACGGACAGGGGCTGTGGCACCTTTATTCTCTCAGCATGTCGGCCCCAAACTACTAGGCTATCAGAAGTGGCTAATCTTATTTTAGCCTAAACCCTATAATTATTTTAAAAATAGAAGGCACTCAACCACAGTTATCCAACTCAATAACCATGAATAATGCACATTAACGCACAGGCTAAGAATAGGAGATGGGGGCGCGGAGTCAGCCAGTCGTGAACGGAGAGAAAGGGACCCAGGGCTGGACGCAAGTGGCATGAACGTCTCTCAGAAGTTTCACACAGACAAACACACACATATAATTGGTGTTTTATGGCTCAGACGCTCAATAATGCGGTCATTACAGAAAATGAGCTAGCTGGTTCCCACGAGGGACATGGCTTTTGACGGCCAAGGATTCCCGATCAGGAGCATCACTTTTGGGGAAGGGCAGGGACCCGGCACTGGCCAGTGCGGCGGTCGGAGCAGGGCCTCGAGTGGGACAGGTGTGGGCTCGGCCCCGCTCTCCCACCCCCCTGAGACCTGGAGCCTGCCCCAGTTTCTTTACAGGGGCTGTGGGAGGCTCAGACTTGTAAACCGAATAGCCTGGCATGTATAAAGATGTCAATAAAAAAAATCACCATTCTTTCTACTGCACAGCACCGTCTTCAAGACAGAGTCACTGTACCGCTGCGGATAAGCTCACCAAGTGCTGAGCACTGAATTCTGCACGGCCACTATTGCTAGTGCCCCCATCACCCCACCCTTTCA